CTGTAATCCTGGCACTCGGGAGGCTGAGGCAGGAGGATCGCTGTGAGTTCAAGACCAGCCTGGGCTACATAATAAGTTCCAGGTCAGTCTCAACTACATAGTGAGACCCTGTCTCAAAAAAAAAACAAAACAAAACAACAACAACAATACCACCACCACCACCACCAAAATAAGCTCATGCTTATCCGAAAGGACATAGATGTGCTGGCCATGGAAAGGTACCGAGGGTGGGGCCCAGAAGGGTTTCCCGGCTCCTGTCCCTGCCTCACACCCCTGGCATGGGGCTCCCCAACCCCTTCCTGCCCTGAGGTCTGGGGCAGAGCTGGGTCCTGAAGAAAAAAATACTCTCAGCACTGTGCAAGTTCTAAGGGTCCTAGTGGCTCTTCTGTAGTGGAGAGGGACCAGGGTCAAAGACCGCAGCAGAAGCTGCTCCTGTCACCCCACTCGGGAGGTGTCAGGGCTGTGAGGAGCCCTGTGGTGGACACAGAGCTTTAGTGTGTACAGAGCCGCCACTCAGATGAACATGAAAACACCCTGGAGAGAGGCGTCCCTGGCAGCAGCATCCGGCTCTGGCTTGCAGGGTTAGAGGGTCACAGGCGGCTTCCCAGGAGAAGAAGGGCCGGCTCCCTCCGCCACTATTCTGAATGCGCCAGGGGCTGCTCGGGAAGTAAAGAGGGGCATTCGCCCTTTGGCTTCCTCAGAGGGGTTTACTCTACCTGCAATGGTCATGGGGCAGTGTCGGCAAGTGAACTAGATTTCACACCAGTCCAGAAGGTGGACACAAACCCCAGACCAGTAGAGCAGGAAGGACCGGTAGATATGGAGTCCAAATTGACATTTCTAAGGTCACATGGTGAGTCAGTGGCTGGCTCCTATAAAAGCACACGGAAGCAGTGGCCTTTATGAGGTTCTTAAACCATGAACTGATGATGCCTGATAAAGGAATAAGTTACAGGTGGGGAGGGGCACTGAGCGGGTTCGGATGTCCAAGAATGGCCTGGCACCCTGTCCCCCATGGCAACTGGCTGGCTCAGACCAGGCCGAGTTGTGCTCCCGCCGCAAATGTGGGCAGAGGAGGACAGAGTGAGGTGCTTTCTGGAGTTTCTACCAGAGCGCAGATCCAGTCGGTTACAAGGCGGAGCACTGACCAGGAGGCCTGTCTGGTCATTCTCCTTCGAGGGCTTAAAGAGCTCACTGTCTATGGGGCCCTGGTTCTCAAAGTGAGGGACCCCCAGGGGCTGGGGACACAGGCAGGGCTCACGAAACATGAGCTTGTTACAGGAGCTTGTGGCTCCCTCTGACCAGTGGAGGCAGCAGCAGTGGGGGGTTACAGAAAAGCTACAACCAGAAGGCATAACCTTAGCTTTCAATTCCACCAGAGCTCCTACAGGTACCTCCCTTTTTGGGCTCCAGGCCTCCCTTTGTCACGGTGGGCAGTGGCTGGCCTGAGTACCCACAGGAAGGGAGGCCCAACTGTAAGTGCTTTAGAGTTCCAGGAAGCACTCTTTAGCCCAGTGAGGTCTTCCTGCGGTGCCGGGGGGTCAGGACCCACTCGGCTGCATGGCTGGTAAGCAGGGCAGGGGTATCTGAGAAGCAGGCTGGTAAAAAACAAAAAGCCCAGACCTCATCTTCCTCATCCACCAAGCCACAGAAGCACCCTGAGTTCCTCCCTGAGCCGGTGCACACGCCTTAGCCGTCACCCCTTCCCTGCCTTGGAAAGGTGGGCCACACAGTCGGCGGGCTGTGCTCTGTGACAGCGAATTGGCAGCAACCCACACGGCCACCACAGCTAGGCTGCAGCACTGTTCCCGACAGGGGCTACCCAGAGCCACCCCACACCCTGCCTCCTTCCCATACACTTAGAAGAGTGGAGCATTAGCACCACAGCCCCTCCCCACACCACGACAACTTCTAGGGGACAATTTCTGCAGAAAAAGCTCCAGTAAGTGGAATGTCTCTATCCACTGGAGAATTCCTGATCCCAAAGTGGCATCTGGGACTCAGGAGAACCCAGAAGGTACGCTGTACCCCTTTCCTCCACCCAGGGAGCTGAACCCACCGGGCTCCATGACGGTTATTTATCAAATTTTTAACCTGATAAACTGACTTTAGCTTTCCCAGATTGGGCCTGGGATTGAAGAGCAAATATTCCAGACTCACTGCCCCAAGAAGATAGATTTGTAGGTATCTGAAAAAATGTCAGAAAAACAGATCTTTTCTACCTAACATATAGAAGTTGGGGAGTGAAGATATCACTGCTGTACCCACCCGTCTACAGTAGTGTTGAGAACCCCGGGTCAACAATGGGCTTCACTGCCGAGAGGCGGAGAGGAAGGAAAGAAAGCACCAAAGCCTAGCCCTTGCCCTGCTGTATAGCACAGACAGCACAAGCCGTGGAAGCAGGGCGTCCTGGCTTTGGGGTGCAGCTACTTCTGTGCCTGTGCGGTCACAAGGAAGTTGCTTCCCTCTCTGCCTGGCTTGGTCTAGAGAGGAGGGCAGTATGGGTGGTATCTCCTGGGGTCCTGGAAAGTCAGCCAGGAGCGCCGGGATGGCTCAGCCCAGGCAGGTGTACTTTACTTTCAGGTTTGCTCTCTGAGTGTCCTGTGTATGTCAGGCATGGATGTTCCAGGAAGAGCCCATACCAGTGTCTGTCACACATGGAGGAGAGGAGGGAAGGCAGGGCCAGACCCGGCCTGGGGAGACTGAGACCCAGAGAGGACATCTGAACAAGGAGGGGTCCCTAGAAGGCCTGGAACCAGATGTCTGCCTCGGAGCGGGCCTGCCCATGGTGGGAGGCAGGGACGTGGCTGAGTATTTACGAAGCACCAGGTCCCCTCCTGGGCTCTGAATTGGAAAGTGGACCCCAGGAGCTCATGTGACACCTGCTCCCACACAACTGATGCGCCCTACCATCATGCCAAATTCCAGGGCTGTCTCAACACCGCTGGCCTCTGGAAGAGGACCATGTGTGCGCTGAGCCTTCTGGAGCTGAGGGTGCTTTCTGTCAGCCCTGGCAGTGGGCAGTGGGGACACATGTGTGTAAAGTCCCACTGGGCTGCATGCTTCACAGCTGTGCTGGCATTGTAGTAGGTTTTATACCTCAACCAGAGAAACAGTTTAGTCAGGACTCCCCCAAATGCACCCACACCCCTGGGACATCCATTCAGCCTGCGGGAGTCAGAGGAGGTCTGAGATGGAATCTGACACCCAGAGATCACTTTCCACATCGTAGTCACAGCTGTCTTTCCTGAAGATGAGGGCTGCGTTAACTGATTCACTTGTGATGTGACAGTGAATTTAATAAAACAACTAGTAGTTTTTATTTAATTGAAGCACTTGCTTTGCATGCTTTTTGCCCCCTTCATGCATCCTTAGGTTCAGATAAAGCAACTCCCACACCCACGTTGGGTGGAGGCAGGCGCTGAGCTCGAAGGTCCTTGGTAGAAAGGCGTGCCTATGACACTCAGGCCCTGTGCTCCTCACTCAGCACTGCAGTGGCTGGGATGCTTCTTTACCACACACCGCATTCCAGGATGAAAACCCATCCACCTGCACACAGCCTGAGGGACATCCAAGGCTCGCCTCTGTGAGCTTAAAAACACTCCCCAGGGTTAAAACTGGGCCTCAAGGCTCAGTAGGGTCAGGCCCAAAAGATATTTCAGCATCACCTGCCTTTTGCCCCCTGAGCCCTGCATCTCCCGATTTCCCTCCTTAGTCAGGTGGTGGTGGCAGTAGTGGCACCAGCAGCAGCAATAAGGGCAGCAATGTCACTCACAGTACCAATGCTGGGGAACTGCGGTGTGCCAGGCACTCTGCTCAACATGTCACTGCCCAGCTCATTTAAATGTAAACACGACTCCAAGGATTCCCTTTTCTAGATAAGGACAGTGAGGCACTGAAAACTTAATTTACCCGAGTTCCTCCCCTAGAATGTGGCAGAACCACGGCTCCAACTGAGCACCATGACTCCAAGCCCTGGTTCTTAACGGCCATCTACCCTGAGGTAAGATCCCAGCCACTTCCAGGACCGTGTCTGGTGGCCATCATGACACCCGGGACGGGAAGGCCTCAGTCCTCCCTCTGAAGCTAGCATTGCAAATGTTCATAAAAGCCACGCATAGTTTTCTTTTCTGTTTTAACTGCTCCACTCAGGAGATTTTGCCAGCCCCACTCCCACTGTCTGTACTGAGTATCCAGCCCACCTGGTCTTGCAGGTTTGTACGGACTTCCACAGCACAGGGCCCCCTTCTGAGCTCACTTCCGGACTCTTTCCTACCTGGGCCCGGGCTCCAGATGCGCTGCACTGTGTGCTTTCCCAGCGTGTGTGAGGTCCCCCATGCCCTCTGTCCCCAGCCTCCGCCAAGGCAGCTCCTCTGCCCCGGATGCCCACTTTCACCGCTGCCTCTGCAAGTCCTAACCCTCAGGACTCCGGCTCCAGTGTCACCTCTGCTGCCTCCCGGGGTGGGGGGGCCCAGATGGGCAGAGTTACAGGTGTCTTTTCTTGTTTCCCAAGTACCATGCACACACCCTTATCAGACACTTCCTGGGGTACATTAGAGTCAGCTGTTTAGGAACCTGTCTACCCCCAAAGCCAAGTACCTCGAGGGGTAGGACTCCACTCACTCCTCAGTTTCCTACACTACTCAGTAAACAAACACTTGTTAAACATACGAATAACTGAATTCAAGAGTAACTTGTTGGTTGTTTGCTCCTCTCTGGGAAGTGTGTTCTAGAGTACGGTAGGACAGCTGACGTGGGACAGAGCCGTAGGAGCACGTCAGTATTCCTGATCTCACACATGGGCAGAGACACAAACTCATTTTTCCTCTTCCCACTGCTCACATCTCCCTAGACCCAGAGCAGGCAGCAGGCTCCTCTGAGGGCCCACAGAATGTCACTCAGTGCAGCGGCAGGGCTAGGATGCTGGAGAACTACAGGCACGGGGACTGGGTGCAACAAGAGAGGGTGTGGGCCACAGGCCGAGCCCAAGCCTTGCTTACCTCCTTCCTGGGAATTCATGATGTTCAGGGCAAACAACATTGCATTGGAGAATGTGGTTGCCTCTTCCTTGCTGGCAAAGTTTAAGCCGTAGACCTGGCGGGCGTCTCGCCACTGGTGGAAGGTGGGCGTTGCCTGATTGTACTTCAGCCCTTTCACTATTGAATAATTGATCACAACCTGGAGGAGAAAAGAGAGAAATGTGTGTAAATAAGTAAAATGTAAGCGAGCTTCGGGGAGTGTGAGGGTGAGGAGATAGAATCCCCCACACAGAGGTGGGTGGGGATGGGGTCTGAAGAAGGGAAAGCACGGTGGGCACATTTTCAGGCTGAAATCTACAGCCACTGAGAGTCTGAGAAGCTTCTCATTTCACTTAGCTGCTGTGTGGTCCCAACCCCCAGACGTGAAGGCCTGAGCTGGGAGTCAGGTTGCAGGAAAGGCGGCCACAGCACTGCCCTGGGGCTCGCTTTCCCTAGTCATGAAACTGGCATAATCCTACCAGCCTCGCCTGCCTCACAGAGCAACAGTGAGAAGCACACTGGACACACACCTTAGCCACACCTCATTCCACCTTATCTTCTAGACAGAAGACTCCTGCAGGGCACACTCTTGCAATGTGTAGCTCTGCCTCTCATGGGCTTCTGCATGACGTTTAGTACCCAAGAGTGCATTATACACGTTCACACCTGCCACTCTGGCACTATGGGAGACTCAAGTTTTAGCTTAGCTTGTGTGACTTAGCGAGACCCTGTCTCAAAGTAAAAAGGAGGCAAGGGATGTAACTTAGTGCAAAAGCCCTGGGATCAATCCCCAGGAACACACACGCGGAAGTTATGAGCTAAAAGGATAACTTGGAAAAGTTAATATGCTACCCAACCATGCAGCATTATTAATGTTTTTATCTAGCTACAACTATCAACTGATCGCCAGAAGCAACACCAGGCCTGGCAGGGAAAGACAAGAAGACAGGTCAGCAGCCAGACCTGTCTGATCCCTAAACTGCTCTTCTGGACATAGAACAGGGAACTACTGAGGGTGTAGCTTAGTGGTACCGAGCTTACTTAGCACATAGGAAGTCCTGGGTTTGGTTCCTAGCACTGAAAAAAAAAAAAAAGTAAAAAAACAAAAACAAAACAATGTTTCAATGCTTTTGAAAACTGCATTTAGTGAGTGGAACTCAGGAAGGCAGTGGGGGATGTGCCTCTTCTTGAACTGCACAGAAATGAATTCCTATGGCGCATATTCTTTTGCTTCTGGCTTCTTTCACTCAATACAAGGTTTATGAGATTTATCTATTGTATTGCATATACCAGTACTTAAATCTTTTTGGTTGTTACGTGTGTCCCACTTCTAAATCACACATAACTTCTTCATTCTCTTGTTGAGGGGCATTTGCACAGTTCCTAGTTCTCAGCTGTTATGAGCAGAGTTGCCATGACTATTTGCATACATGCCTTTTAGTGGACACAGGCACTTCTCTCTCTCAGGACACAGCCAGGAGGGGGTTATATGGTACCTGGGTATTCAGTTTAGTAGGCTCAGTTTTCCAAAGTGACTGCACCAATTTACACTTCTACCAGCAATAAAAGGAGCTTGAGTTGCCTGATGACTCTTGGTATTGTCAGTCTTTTCAATGTAAGCCCCTCAATGTATGTAGTGCTAGCTCATTGTACTTTTCATTTCTATCTCTCTGGCGATCAATAACACAGAGACCTTTCACATACTTACTGGCTATTTCTTATGTTCCACTGCTCTTCTGTATATGTCCCCCCCTCCAACTTTTATTTATTTATTTATTTATTTATTGGTTTTTTGAGACAGGGTCTCACTATGTAGTTCAGCCTGCCCTGAAACTCACTATGTAGCCCAAGCTGGTCTTGAACTCACAGCAATCCTCCTGCCTCAGTCTCCTGAGTGCTAGGATTACAGGCGTGTGCCACCATGCCTGGCTTTCCCTCCCAATTTTGAAAAGAAAATATGTCTCTTTCTCACTGATTTGTAGGACTTCTATATATAATTTTTCATGAGTGCTTTGTCTCATTTAAATATATCATGAATATCCTCTCTCACTCTGTAGCTTATGTTTTTGTTCTCTTAATGTTGTCTTTCAATGAAGAAAACTAGATTTTTGATGAAGGGCAACAACAATTTTGTTCTTCTATGATGTTTCTTGTGTCCTATCCAACAATCTTTGCGTTCCCCAATACGATGAAGATTTTCTTCTACAAACTTAACTACATTTTCTTCTACAAACTTAACTGACTTTTTTCTCCTCTTATTGGAAATGGGGATCTTACTGTGTTGTCCGGGCTGACAACACAGCTAATGGGGTCAAGCAAGCAATCCTCCCATCTTAGCCTCCTGACCAGCTGGGATTGCAGGCAGGAGACTTGCATTATGTCTTAGCATGTGATCTATTTTGGTCAGTGTTTTATGTACTGAGAAGAATGTATACTGTATAGTTGATGGCTGTATAAATCAGGTCTAGTTGGTAAACAATGTCATTCACATTTTTGATATTTTTCTTATTTACATTTGCTTACTCAGTCCGTGACTTGGAGATAAGATTAGACTCTTCAAGTGTGGCTCTAAATTTGCTCATTATGCAAAAGCTTTAAATTAGTCCACTTTGCTTTCTGTTTTTGGAACATATTTTATTAAATACATACAAATATAGGATTTCCCTTCAAATGACCTTTTTTTTTTTTTTTTTTTTTTT